CCCTGGAGAACTGCTCTGCCAATGGAACGGAAGTTATATTTGGTAATTTGGGAGACAAAGTATCGCCACAATGTGTTGTAGTGATATGTGACACTGCAAAAATAAGAGTGAAAGAGAATTTTAATTTAATTTCTGCATGGATTTATGGTGTGCATTAATTAGCTCACATACATCATGGTTTTATTAATGGCAAGGCTTCAAAAGAGTGACTGTAAACGTAGAGTTACAATAAAAAGTCTTCCTTTACCACTTCCCTCCACAGAAACTCCGTCTGCAGCTGCAGAGGGTAAAGTAGAAGCTCCCTGTGTGCTCTGTGTGTGTCTGTATGTCCACACGATTCGGCAGGAGAAGACAAGGCTGCAGTGAGGTCATAGAGGGGTATGCTCTGTATCCTCCTGAGACCCAAGGAAAAAAGTGTCCTTCAGTTTTAGGTTAATTGTGATTTTCTATGTCTTTGGAGGAAATAAGACATCTTTTTTCAAATTTATTTTTAATGTTAATTTCACAGCATGTCCTCTTTAGTGTAAACAGGAATAGATACATTTCCTTACATCAGTGAAACGATAGATGCAAAAACAAAATGTCCACTGCAATGGACATAAATGAATGGGTTGGGTCTCAGAAGGGTATGCATGCTCTTTAACAGGAAAGATCTGAAACATTTATTTTTTCACATGACACACCATGACACCACAAGATCATATATTTATTTTGAATTGACAATTGATTCTTGCTGATTTTGAAGTGCATTTCTTTGTCAGTTTTTCTTATAAGACCATTTTCCTATATGACCACTTTACATTAACTGCACCTTCATAATGCCTTTATGATGCATCGATACAACATTCAGTGCACCTTCATTCATCACACTCTTAGAAAAGTAAGAGTAAAACACACAAACACCTTTTTAGGTACAGAAATGGAGGAGCATTGAGGAACATCCCAATGGTACAAACAGCATTAAGGTACCATCACTGTCACAGAAATGTTCCTCAGGTACAATTACCTACAGCTAAGGGTACAGTTGGCAGACCCTTGAGGGTACAACTCCAGTGGCAATCAAATGTACAAATTTTTTCTGAAAGTGTAGAACATTCATAAGCAGCATGTAAGTATATCTTAGCATCCTAACATACCTTAACAGCTTTAATATACATTAATAACAAACATTATACCATTATTAGGGCTCCATGCAACACTGGTATTATGAACGTGCAGTTAATGTAAATTGTTACCCAATTTTCTCAGTTTAAGAAGCAGCCTAGACACAGTGTACGTGATGTGTTTTCCAAAGCTGTGGGTCAGATATGCTGCCAGTTTGATGGAATATTTCCCACTCGCCTTATTCCTCACATTGTCCCTGTTTTGCCGTCATGTCTTGTAGGTGCAGGCTGCAATATCTGGGTGGGGGTGGGAGTGTGGTCTATTCTGTTGACCAGCATGATGTTGGGATCGTTCATCTACTGCTGGAAGAAAAGGCCCGAAGGTAGGCCAGTGTTCTAGTTCAAGAATTGTTCATAGTTATAGTAAAATATTCTTCATAACAGAAAGTTGGAGGTACCTGTTCAAAGAGATCCAACTGTGAGCTCTTTGATCTTTTCTTGTGTTTCCTTTATACAAAATATGCAGCCTATGCCAACATCCCATCATCATCCATTCAGTCAAGCTCAGCCCCCCCACCAAGCACCAAGCCCCTGGAGGTCCTCGCCGAGCTTGGGGGGCAGAAGCCTGTCCAGACCAGCACCCTGAAAACATAACCCAGCATCTGCTTGACTTAATGTTGTGTGTTCAGATCAAATAGCATCCTGAAACCCATTTTGTCCTAAACCCATCCAACCACCACAGTTTGACTGCAAAGGACTACTATCTCGTCATTCATATCAAGTCTTTGGGAATAAAATGTAACCATTTATTGATATATATTTAAAATTTTATGCTTTTAAAATTCAATTATTCAGAGTCTGCTCTTGCTCAGTAAAACTTATGAGACGCATTAAATGCCTGTCTGAAGTGGATTACTTTTCAAGTTGTTTAGCCATAGGGGGAAAATTGGAAACATTTGTGTTAAAATTCACTTGTGTTAAAATTCACGTGACAGGTGATGATTGAAGAATCTCACTGTTTAGCTCTATGCTGCTCATTGAATCGTATTTTCTGACATCATCTGAATTTCTTTCAATGATGGGCATATTTACTCAATGTGGGGATGCGATAATAAAAATAAATAAATTGCCCTCTGCAATTATTGGCACCCCTTGTATTGTATTTTTATTATTGCCCTAACAGTAGGAATGGGCATTTTAGGCAAGTAGCTATTTTTAAACCCATTCCCTGACTTATGAAGCTCAACACGCTTCTCCCTCATTTGGTTTGTGTGTTCACTTATCTTTCCCATGTTGATGGATGTCTAACGGAATTTGACCTCTGTATCACCTCATGTTTGTACCCCAGTTAATCAGGAAGTTATGGATTGCAGCTTGAATATTCCTACACACTCCAATCAACTCAAAGATGTACAATTTACATGGAAAACTTGCTTCAGTTACATTGTGTTCACTATAATTTCCATGGGTACAAATAATTGTGGCACACGACTTTGTTAAAAAATAATTATTTCTTGATAACCGGTTTGTTTTTCTTTAATTAAATTAATTTTAATTAAAGACTGGCTTTTTCTCATGTTTCAGTGTGAGATGATCAGGAGATGTAAGAATAATACCAGTTTTCTTTATCAAACTCAAAGCAAAGACTTAAACCATTTAGTTCACTAAAAGCTGCAGTCCCCCAATACCAAAAAGTAACAAATGTTTCACCAATGCAAAATTACTCCATGCATTGACTGTGCACAGCCTTGATTAACACAGTTATCCTGTTTAGCGTTCAGCCAATGTCACGTGACACTCCGTATTCATACACCCATCTTCCTCCTGCCTGTCCAGTTCACGACTGTAGTGAGCCTAACGCCTATATACCAAGCAGCATTGGGCACAACGCTGGAGAATGCTGGTCTATAACATCTCATAATCCTTTAGGTAGCCAAACCCTTTTTGTGATGTTTTACCACAACATCACATAATCTGGCTATAAAACCTTTTTAAAATTTTGTTGTTTTTGCATTAGTGCACCCCCTAGTGAAACTGATGTCTCACATGAAACAGGTTGCATACGTTTTAGTGCCCCTACTGGCCACATTCTGTCGGGCCGGTTAGATCAGTCTACAACTACGCATGCTGTCAGCGGGGTCCACAGAGCTGCGTGTGAAATCGAACAATCACCGATACAGTCCAAGAGTGCCACATTTATGTTACCTGGGTCAGAATCAGGACACACACACAGACACACTAGGTTTGCAACTTGTCAGGATTGTCTGGGATAACCGTGGATTTTGGTCGTCTGTCCTTGAAAAAACATATTTCATTACGGGACCCGGAATCGCCCTATCAATTTCCCTATCAGTCAGACTTAAACAAACCTTTGGAACGGTGTCGCTGTGTGCAATATTTTTGGTCACTTACTGGGTGTCCAGGATTTTACAGGACTGAGGTGGCAACACTAACACACACTCACACAAAGTTCATATATTCCTGTCATTGTGGGGACTCTCCATTCATCTCTGTTGGCATAACCCTAATCCCAACAATGACAACCTTAACCCCTACCCAGCCCTGACCTTAACCATAAGTAACCAAACAAAATGCAAAATTTTGACTATTTTACTTTTTTGATTGCATTCACATATTCTTTAATATATAAAATTTAGGTTTATATTGCGGGACCTAAAAAAAATGTCCCCACAAGCTAAAAAGTAACACGTTTTACCACATTGTGGGGACATTTGGTAAAAACATACACGAAATACACAATGTATTTGCGATTCTAATACAAAATCAAAATACCAATTTAATTAAACACACAATTAAATATTTTTTCTCCAGCAGACTGAAAAAAAATCAGTCACATTGGTCTAATTAACAATCGTGGGACTAGGACCTTTTAGGATTAAAAACGTAACAAATGGTCACACTGGATAGTAAATGCATTCATCGCAGACTTTATTATAAAGTGTCACGGGTGACTGTGATCGGCCGCGCCCTTATTGTCGCGCACAGTCAGACAATGCCGGTCTGCTGCGCTCTCTTCCTGCTCGCGGAGGTAGATGGAAAAAACCTGTAATTACGCATAAACTGGTTTTGTTAACTTTGGCTTTAGTAATATTGCTTTTTTTCAGTGCAAAAAAGTGCGGGTTTTGTTGCTGAGTAGCAGCTAACAGCGGGTTTGCTGGCGCTCTCTCGCGGCGCCCGTCGGCAGGTGGATGGGCAGCGCTGTCCGGGCGCAGAACCCCGGCATCTTTTAAAAGCCACCCTTCCGGCCGAGTCTGTCCGCTTTTTATTTCACGTCGTACCACCGCCATGCCTTAACATCTGAAAGTTTTAGAAGATGGCACGTGTTTTCAGCTGGAGTGAGATTAAAGATTGGATGTTACAGTAACACCGGAACATGCGCTTCTGATGATCGAACAAAGGCTGAGGTGCGATTTGGTGGCTGCTGCGATTTTCAAACAGCTTGGACGATAAAGGGGCGGATAAAGGTGTTTTCGCCGCGGCCGAAAGTCGATCCAGCTGCCGCAGGTAAACCCGAATCGCCTCAAAATGGCGCGATTTTAATCCTGTATTTTAAATCACACTTTCACCTGGCAAAACCAATACGCCAAAATGTTCCTGCGGTTTCGTTTTCTTTTGCTTTAATGTGCAAACGTTTGCTAATGAATGGATGCCTGATTACCTGCTTGTAAGCCTGCATTTCTGATGTTCACTGAATTAGAAAGTACGCAGCTATCTTGAAGTTGTATCTACTATAATTTAAGAAAAGGGTGTGCTAGCTGGTAGGTATTTATTGAACATAATTTTTGGTATTAATTGTGTTACATTTGGACTCTTTGTGAAACTACGTAACATCTGTCATCCTGCGTTTTTGATGAAGTGCGGCAATAATTACAAACAAAGATTTCGACGAATCCACTGTGTGCTCGGTCATATAAAACGGTAAAACGCGGCTAGAAATGGCTTTTTTGGTTTGCGAGATTGTATACGTATTATAGTAGGATGTTGTTTGGTTAAGTTTTATTATTTCTTGCAGCGTATTTTATGTTTTCTAATCTCTTTATTGGGAAGCGTCGCGGGCGTTATGATTTTTATTAATTGATTTTATGAACAATGACACTGGTCAGTCAGTCTTCTGTCTTCCCGCTCTTACAGTCTCACACGGTGTTTCCTTACACCTGGCTCTGGACAAAAGCCGCAACAACAACCAGCTAGTATAAGCCCTTTAACTGTTTGGTTTCATAACAGCCGCGTTAGTTCCGTCTGTCTTCCAGCTGTTTTAAAGCTACACACCCCAAAAAGACCATGTACACTCCACCCGCACCTCAAATAGCTACCCCCCTCACCCCCCATGGTCAACAACTTTCAGGGGAACCTGAGACCTGAAACGACTGAAACTGCCCAAGGGCCTCTGACCATGTTAATGTTCTTCTGGGTGTGACACAATAGTCACCACTGCTTCATACCTCACTCCCTATAGGTGTGACACAATAGTGCTTCCCACTGAGTGACCACATGGCTGCTGCACTTTCTATATTAATTTCTTCATCCTGATATCCTCTACATCAATACATGAGAATCAAATCCATGTCTGTTTTGAGCCCTGAGAGATCAACATGCACAGGATCCATGTGGTGTAGCTACTGTATCCAGGTGTGCATGTACCTACAACCTGCAGTGTCCAGGTGTGCGTGTAGCTACAACTTGCAGTGTCCAGGTGTGCGTGTACCTACAACTTGCAGTGTCCAGGTGTGCGTGTCGGGTGATGAGACACTGATGTTTCACTTGCGGGTTTTCAGATCTCAGCCAGTGACCGAGGCAAAATCCATCGTGTACTTCGAAACTTGGTGTCGTGTTGCTGGAACATAATGTACATTTTTTGATGGAATCCATCGCTGTGTTCGCCGTTCCAGTTTTTGCCCCAAATACATGCTTACCCAGGCATTAAGGATCCTAATGTTGCTCCAACTTTTGAGAAAATTCAGAAACTCAAATTGTAGTAGTGCAAACATTTTGATATTCCTTGATAGTGAATGTTAGTTTTTGGAATAAAGTGGCAATACTTTTTTCCTGCATTTTTTTTGCCGTATGCAGAGTTCTAGATGATGCCAGAAAATCAACCCAAAAATAGTGCCTAGTGTAGTGCACCCTACACATGCGGACTTTTGTGCAGACACCATAAACCGCAAGTAGATGAGATGTATGACATCCTGAGTTATTGCATTATGGAAGTGTGACACATGGAGGAAGTTCATTGTGACTCAGATGCGTGTAAGGCACGGAAATGGGCAGATTAGAATCCCTGTCAGTGACCGAATTTACATACAGGTTTGCTCAGCATGGCAGGTAGTAGAGAGGCTAAGAGTCACTAGTCTTCAGCCCCAGCAGGAACTCTGCAGTTGGCTGAAAGGCACCATGGAGGCTCTTACAATCTCTACAACTTAGTTATGTCAACTCAACTCCTAATCATACAGACTCCCTGTGGGGGGGTGTGTTCATGCATGTCCCAACCTGAATGCATTCCCTGCTGCATTCCAGCCAATCAAAGCAAAGGTGAATAGAAGGAGATGGATCAAAGTGAAGTGTTTTTTTTTTTTTTGTACTCATTTGCAAGAACACAAAGAAGCCAAAGTTACAGAGATGGAGGTGCATCAAGTTTCTGCAGCTGCTTGCTCAGTTTAATTAGCATTGATTGGCTAACATTTGCTTGTTTTTGGAATATACAAGGGATAATTCAATCTAAAAACATTATAGAATTTGTAGGGACAGTAGGCAAAGCGGTGCGTGCAATTTCAGATCTAAGCTTAGTAGAATTAGTCACTGCAGATTGGTCACAAACAATTGAGGAACTTTTTTATGATGTCATTATGACCACTTCCTTTTACAGCTCATTTGAGATTTCGTGTTTGTCTAGCCCACAGATGCAGGCTGCTCAGCTGGTCTTCCTTCCTCGGAATACGAAACCACTGCTAAAATGACTCAAGATTGGTCAGAAACGAGGACATTGCTTGTATGGGAGACTGACGTCTGCCAGGCCAGTGATGTGGAGCTACAGTCGGATCTGAGCAATTTTTTGAGAGTTTTCTTCACTTGCTGTGTGATTGCAGTCAGAGGACTTTGATTCACGACCGTGTTCCTACGCCTCCAAGCCCAGAGCGATGCTTCTGTATGCGACCCTGTTCTTCCTCCGCAGTCTCTTGGCCGTGCCGGCGCTCAGTTCTCCCCTAGCTGTGCCCCGGACGACCGTAGCACACCTCGGTGAGCTCTCCTCTCGCCCACTTCCATCTCACCTTTTGTTCTGTGCTCCAGGAGGCTAAATTTGTCAGGGGGGTGGCGTATGACTCTGTGGGGTAGGACAGCGTGCCTGATAATGGAGGATTGCTAGTTCAGATCCTAGACTTGCCATAGTGATGTCACACTTGTGCCCCTGAGCTCGGCCCTTAACCCCCAAGTGCTCCACGGATTGTGTGGCCCTGCTTTCTTTAAAAAGTTCCATGCTTTGAAAAAAAAAGTGTCTGCGAAAATAAATAAAATCTGTAAAATGACTAGATGCAATTGTTCCCATGGAATTGTGTTTCGTGAGAACGGTGTTTATATATATTTTTGTTTCCCTGTCCTGGGGCTAGATGATAATGCTCGTCTGTTCAGAGAGGAGAGGGTCTCGAATTACTCCTGCATGCTCTTGAGAGAGGACCTGGGTCTGCTTCTGGTCGGGGCCAGAGATGTCATCTATGCACTGGACATGCAGGATGTCTCCAGGAAGAAATCTGAGGTAAAGCACCCCCTGGCCCCTTTTCCCGCCAATCCCAAACTCCACCCCCACCCCACCCCATCAAGGTAATACTAATGAGCAACTGTCCCCGCCCACTCTACCAGTGACATGTATTCCTGTGATGTCATTTGTATGACATACACCCTCATGCAAACCCCATGATTAATATTTATGTTGCAGGTTAAATGGGCGATCACAAAAAACGAACAGGAAATGTGCATGACTAAAGGAAAAACTGAGGTATCACAACCTCCGTGCGTGTGTGTGTGTGTATATATATCTATATATATATATATATATGTGTGTTGCATGCAGAAACACGACCTCGCTTAAGGCCGGATGGCAGGTACTCTAATGCTCCTGTCCTTCGCCGTTTCCAGGTCGACTGTCAGAACTACATACGCATCCTGCACACGGTACACGACGGCCGGATCTATGCGTGTGGGACCAACGCCTTCAGTCCACTCTGCACCTACATGGTCAGTCTGGTGGCCTGGGGATGGGATGGGCTTTGGTCCTAAAAAATTCAGCAATCCTGCCGATGGGCCCCTCTCTATACATTTTGCAGATTGGCGGGGGGGCCCTCTGTAGATTATGGTGGGGGTTTAGACTTGAGTAATTTTACTACCTAGCTAAGAGTCTGATTGGTAACAAATATTCCGAGGGGGGTTTCAAACCCGTTATTTTAATATGTGGCTGCATGGTGGGGGAGCTACAAGCCTGGTATTGGAGACTCCTGATGCCTGTTACCCATACTGGCTCTTTCATGATATCAGCCCAGCCTGTCGAGCACCGCTTCAGCTGCACCGCTTCAGCTGCACCGCTTCAGCTGCACCGCAGTGCGAGGTTACTGGTGCTGCCTGACACCTGATTGTTTGCGCTGCACGTTTGCAGACTTGCGACGAGGGGCAGCTGCAGCTGCAGGGCTGGAAGGAGGATGGAAAGGGGAAGTGTCCTTTCGACCCGCATCAGAGATACGCTTCCCTCATGGTTGGTACGTTGGCATGCTTGCGTGCGCTGGGGAGACTTGTGGCAGTTGTGTTCTGCTGGAGGCAGGGCCGTTTCTGGCTGGTTCCCACTAGGGCAGCAGGTGTATAGTGTTCCAAATACTGATTTGCAATGGGAAGACTACTAGTTAATGGGATTTTAAGTAACTGCTGTTGTACCCTTCAGCCGTGGACAGTGAAGGGTTCAGCTGTACAAATGGCTCACAACTATGGCACTGGATGATTTTTTTTTCTTCTTTTTCTTTTTCGTACCCGTGCTCACCCAGGCACTAAAGTCAGTCTGCTCTGGTTTTTGAAAATCCAGAAACTAAAATTGCGGAACTGCGAGCATTTTCATTTTCCTTGATAATGAATGTTAGATTCTGGAATAAAGCGGCACTGCTGTTTTTCCTGCATTTTTGCCATAATCGAAGTTGCTTTCTGTCGTGCTATGCACCCCCCCCCCCCCACCCCCCACCTCCAGGTGATGACCTGTATTCTGCCACCACCTTGAACTTCCTCGGCTCCAACTCGGCCCTTACACGGAACTCCCGTACCCACCTGAGCACGGAGATCCAGGACTCATGGCTCTCTGGTGAGATGCTCGTAGCCATTCGGCTCCAGAGCCTTTGAGGTCTGAAGTCGCAACAGCGGCGCTCGATCCTAGGATCGGGCATGTATCAGCATTTCCTGCTTTCCGCAAATCGAGTTTGTTACTTCAGGGGAAGGTTACTTTGGTCCATTAATGAGTAATACAATAATGAGTAATGCATGAGTCCACATGAGGGTCAGAACCAGGGCTGATGATCCGGAGCTGAATGTTGGGTGTTCCCTTGACGTTTCTGCTGCGTGCCAGTTTGTAGCGTTAACCATTAACCACACCGCAGATAAAATGGTGTCGCCACGGCTCAGCAGCTCACACGCTAGCCTGTGTATTTTCGTCCTTGAATCGTGCTGCCTTTGTGTAAATGTGCTGGGTGTCGCGGTATGATTTCAGACCCCCGGTTCGTCTACATGGCCGAGGTCCCTGAGAGTTTGGGCAGCTCGACTGGCGACGACGATAAGGTCTACCTGTTCTTCAGCGAGGCCGCCGTAGAGTATGATTTCTACAAGAAGCTGGTGGTGTCGCGTGTCGCACGTGTTTGCAAGGTAAGGATCTCCAGAACACCCCCCCCCCCCCCGTGTCCGGCTGGGTTTATGTTGGACCACATTTGGCCCTGGTTTCCTTTCCATTCCAGTTAATCTGGTGTTTCTCAACCCAGTCCTGGGAGATCCCTAGATCTCCCATGGACTGTCTGGGGGTCCCTGAGAACCGGGTTGAGAAACACTGCATTAAATGATAAGGATCCGCTCATGCTTCATACAGAACCTCATACCTGTGATGTGATGACCGTCTTTGCAGGGTGATATGGGCGGCCAGCGGACCCTACAGAAGCGTTGGACGTCTTTCCTGAAGGCCCGTCTCGACTGTCCTGTTCTGGACTACAGCATGCCCTTCATCCTCCAGGACGCGTTCCTGTGGCGTGACCACAACTGGAAGACAAGCGTCTTCTATG